AGCAGGAGGTCCCACAGTGGTGCAGGGCGGGCAGGGGAGCCAGCATGAGCTGCTGGCAGTCCCCTTGGGATGTCCCCTGGCTGCATGGGTGGGTGAGCCTCTTCTGCCATGGGGTCTCGGGGGTGATGCCCTCTCCTGGCTAGACACCGCCACCCAGCTCCTTTCAGCTCTCCAAGGAGCGTGATGTTTGTCCTGGGGCTCTTGGCCTCAACGGCAGGGAGGGTTGGCAAGGGGAGCCACAGGAGAGGCATTACCTAGGGATCACGGCACCAGGCTTGTGGTGTCCCTGGAACTGGACTGTCTTTGCAGGAGCAGCCGCAGTGGGTTCCCCTCGCTAAGCCCGCTCTCGCCTCAGGAGATATTCCAGCTGGCGTGCATGGATTCAACGCACGGGCAGTTCCAGGAGCACCAGTCTCTGGTAAAGTCATGCGCTGCCTCACGGGTGCTTTCCTGGAGTCCCTGCAAGGATGCTGGTGGGCAGGGGGAGGTGTAGGTCTATCAGCATTGAGGTGAAACTCTGCTTCCTATGGCTGTGACATGGACAGGGTGAGGGGCAGCGAGTACAGCGGGGACAATGACAGCCTTTGGGTCACATACGGATCCAAGCAGGGGACGAACATCCACTGGTTTTTCCCCACCTGTGGCTCCTGCCCATCGCCTCTGCCTGGGCAATGGGATCCCAGTGAGCCCTGGGCTGACCTTGGCTCTGTGCTGCTGGCACCAAGCAGCAGCAAGTGCTTTTGCAACCTTTTGAGAGCTGTGACTGTGGTTTGATGTCCTGCAGTAAAATATCCTTCTCTTCACAGGCTGCTCTTTTTTTCACTGAGCGCTCGTTTCAGTGGGTTATCCCATGCTGAGTGATGGTATCTGATGTTTTCGGATTCATGTTCATTTTGTTGTCAGTGCTGATGTCCCTGATCCAAACTGAGCTGTGAAACCGTCACCAACGGGAACACAGCCCTCCAGCCCCGCACACCTGCTGGTCGGCAGCAGTAGTGTCTCTGTGCGTGTGTGTGTGTGTATATATATATATACATATCTCTCTATATATATTTACATGTCTGTGTGTGTGCAGTCATGCACCACCCCGACACTTGTTGGACTGCAGTGTTGTATCACTGTACATCTCTGGCCCAATCTGTGTCCCCCAGAGTCTGTAGTACTCTCTGTGAGTTGTGTACCACACACACATGCTGTCCCCTCACCCCGTCTGCCCTGACCACTCGCCCGCCCTCTGGCCAAAGACGGTGACCGCAGCCGACTGGTGTGGCACGCCCCAGCAGGGAGGAGTGATGATGAGATCCCCCCTCGTAGGGTCACCTTCGAACGAAGTTGCACGTGTCTGATGCCACTCTCTGCTAACTTCTGTAGTTCTTTGGCATTGCTTGCTGTAGCAGATCGAAAGAGTCCTTCAGGTTGGGAATTAACCAAAACACAGAGATGCCACAGTTGGCGTTCTTTCTTTTAATTGCAATGTGGCCAGAAAGCCTTGAAAGCAGGTTCAGATAAAATCCCATGTGATCCCATTCTGGAAAAAAGAGAAGGAGTTAGAGCCTAGGCCTTTGTGGGTTTGCCGAAATCCAGGTAGGGTTTTCAGTAGCATTGTTGAAAGAAAACAGTGCAAGATGAGTTGAAGATCAGGTGGACAAGAGCCTGAAACTCCATTTCTGGGCTCACCTGCGAAGGATTGTGAAATGGAAATTATTTTTCAGTTACAAAATGATTAATAATATTTCTTAGAGTTACTTTTTGGCCAACTTAAAATCTGCCCCCGGTTGCCAAGCTGTGAGAGACCTGGGCTGTCCCCTGCAGACACTGGCAGAAGCAGCGTGCTGTCCTGCTCCAATCCAATCCCAAGAGCTTGGCTGTGTCTTTGTTTCCAGGAGCCAGAGGTTAGGGAGTTTCAAAGAGTGCAGCCCTCTAACCGCGGCAACTACCTTCCCGTGGACACTCAGGACCACGCTGTATCTGGGAGGGCTTCCTCCATGCCTCGTCTCACTGTGGATCCCCAGGTAAAACCAAGGAAAGCCCCCAAGGATGCCGAGTCCAAGCAGAGTCTACCAGGTAACACTGGTGCTTCTCTCCGTGCTGAGAACGTCCTCCAAGCCCCCTGGATCCCCGTTGCCCTGCTATCAGAGCATCTCCATCTTTGGGTTGCTTCGCAAGGAGGAGAGAGCTGCCGTCCCCCTCTACAGTGGGGACGGCAGCAAAGAGCAGCTAAGGGAATTGTCTGGCTCACGCAGGAGGTCCATGGTGGAGCAGGGCCCTGCTGGGATGTTGCTGTGTGGTTCCCCACGCTGTGGGACACTCCTCCTTTCTTCTAGCCCTGGGCACTGGCTGGGTTCATCAGTCCTTGCTGCAGAGGCAGGTTTGAAGAGTCCCTGCCCAGCTGTAAGATGATCTCCCGGCTGATAAAGTGCCTTTTATTTCCTTTTCTGTTGTCCCAACATGCACGTCCCTGCCTGTGCCCCTGGACAGTGTGCGCAGGGGAAAAGAGGCCGCATTTCACCTCCTTGTCTGTCTGCCTGGTTTCTCTGTTGTTCTGTCTGTATTCAGCTCTGACCAAGACACAAAAGCTTTCGTGCAGTCTGGTTTTGCAACCTTTTGCTGTGAAGTCTCAGGGACTCTTTTTTCATAGCAGTGGTGGTGCAAGCACCAGGCTCTTACATCTGCGCTGGTGCAACATTGCGTTGTCTGTCTGCAGTGGCACTTTGGAGGAGTATGAAGAGGAAGGGAAGCGTTTCCACGTGGACTTTGTTGACCATTCAGCAATGGGGGAGATGATCAGAAAAAGGGGATGAGAGCAGAAGGGATAGAGCATGAGGAGGCAGGGAGGGAGAGACAGGAAAGAAGGAGGAGAGAATGACCCCAAGGCTCACGAGGGAAACAGCTGCTAAAATAAAGCAAAAGATAATATATAAGGAGGTGACGCGCACAAAACATTTGAGGACACAAGGGAGGTTAGGGAAGGGGAGAAGGCAGGAGGGAGAAGAATGGAGATGAAGAGGAGAGGGAAGGATTGATGGGATGATAAAACAACAGTGAGAGCAAGGAAAGAGGGAATTAATACAGGGGAGAGGCAAGCGAAGGGGGTCATAGAGCAATGGAGGATGAAAGCAGCTCAGGAATAAAGGGGTCCAGGGAGCAGTCTGGAAAAGTAACTGGGAAAATAAACACAAGCGAGTTGCTTCAGGTGCTGGAGGAACCAGGGCCCTCTCCTCCCTCTCTTAATGATTTCTTCTGAGAAACAGTTTTCAAAGTAGGGAGTGATGCTGAGATAGCTCTGGGGACATGGTCTTACATATCCCGTTGTCTCCTTGCTGAGTGCTGTCTGCTGCTGTCTTGCTGTAAAACTCAGTGCCTTGGCTTGAAGTGAGGTGGTTCACTTTGCTGTCAGAGCACAATTAGCAGTTAAATGGGGCAGGGAAGCCTGTAAGTACAAAAGCCAAAACACATCGTGGCTCCTCCATTCCTCCCGTCGCAATCTCCTGCCCCTCGTTTGTGCCCGGATTGTTTGGGGAGGCTATGTCAGGTCCCCATACCCCCCCACATCTCCCCGTTGTACTAACGAGCTAACCCAGTGGCCGGTGTGACAGTGATCGCGGGTGAATTGGTAACTGCTCGACCGCCCTGCTGCAGAGAAGCACCTCCGAGCCCCCGTGCCCTGCTGCTAACGCCCCTGCCCCGGCCGGCCCCGGGGTCTGCTTGCAGGTGGTCACGGACACTAGTTCCATGCGGCGATCGTTTTCCACCATCCGGGACAAGCGCACCAACAGCTCCTGGCTGGACGAGTTCTCCATGGAGCGGAGCAGTGAGAACACCTACAAGTCCCGCCGGCGCAGCTATCACTCCTCGCTCCAGCTCTCCGCCCGACGCCTCAACGCCGACTCAGGTGAGTGGGACAAGGACGAGGCAGGTGGGCAAGAGGTTATTTTGGCACCTGGCTCCAAGCTGCCCGGAGGCCACGCATTGCACAGGCCTGTGGTGCTCTGCTGGTGGTCCCACGCCAGCGCAGAGAATGAGCAAAGCCTTGTCTCCCCCTCGCCCCTGTTTCTGGGGAGGTGGTTGCAGGGCCTGACCTGGGTTTTCTGCAGGCCACAGGTCTGACGGCCATCGCTCAGGTGGCAGGGAGCGGGGACGATCCAAAGAGCGCAAGCACTTGCTGTCCCCGGACATCTCCCGCTGCAACTCAGAGGAGAGGAGTCCCCAGGCGCATGATGAATCTCCGGAGAGGCGGCGCGAGTCCCGGTCACCCAGCGAGGGCAGGTCTCAGACACCCAACAGGCAGGTAGGTACTGCGGGAGCCCGGGTGCCTGACAGACCCCTGTCTGAGTGCAAAAGAAGGTTTAGGAAAAGCTTCCTGCCAAAGCCAGGGAGATAAACCCAAACCTTGGGAGCTCCCACTGTCTCTCCTTGCTACGGCACCCCCGGCCGCGTCCCCTGCAGGGCTGAGCGGAGCGCTGGTGCCTTGCGAGCGCTTGGGGCAGCCCGCAGTGCGTTTCAGGAAACGGGCCGGTCTCTAGCTGATCCTGCAGCCTCAGGCTGGTCCCACCACCGTGGGGACTGCTCTGAGCCAAGGTCAAGGCATCACAGCTACAGAAACCTGGGCATGGAAGTGCTTGAGCATGGTTCAAGCCCACGAAGACGATCCGTCCTTAGAAAGCTGCCTGTAGAGTGACCAGCAGCTAAAGAGCAGTTGGCAACTCTTCCTACATTGAGTTTGCGGCCTCTGTCTCGGTGCCGTTGCAGGGAACGGGCTCCTTGAGCGAAAGCTCCATCCCCTCCATCTCGGACACCAGCACCCCCCGGCGAGGCCGCCGCCAGCTCCCGCCGGTGCCCCCCAAGCCACGTCCCCTCCTCTCCTACGCCTCCATGCTGCGGCACGCGGG